AGGCCAGGTTGGAGAGAGTCTTGGGTCTAGTGTGTGGTGTCCCTGACCATGGCAGAGGGTTGGAACCAAGCTCCTTTCCAACCCAAACCACTCTGTGACTCTACAATAATCTACATTTCATAAAACCTGAAGCCTCAGCCAAGAACTGCATTAGGAAAAGTGGGGTTTAGGGATTCATTTCTAAACGTGAGGGGACTTTGGAGCTGTTAAACCATCTGACATTGCTTTAACAGGGTCAGGAAATAAACTGCCTACATAGGATCAGCCAACTGTAGAGGCAACATGATGGCCTTAGTTTATTTATCTATTATCTCTCAGTTTCCCAGCAAGAAAGGAAAAGGTTTTATCTTAAAGAAAAAGGAGTGGCTATTCCCAGCAACGTCCAACAGATGGTGGTGTCGTATAAGAAATCCTGATCCATGATTTTCTAGCCACTTACTTCAAAACTTCTGCCTTTTGATACCTAAAGGGACTCCTGTGACCATTTTGCACCTCTTGGAGGTATCCACAGAGAGCAATGGTACCAAGAAGGAACAAAAACCACATAGGAAAAGGAATGGATTTTGTTCAGAAGTAGATGAATACAGCTTTGAAGGGGAAATGGGCATCTAAAGAGCAGGCATATGTGGATACTGTCATGTCCTGCTGGCAACAGTACGAGCCGGCTTCAGGCTGGTAACTTTAGTAAAGTGTAAGAATAAAGTATAAATAAAGAATAAAGTATAAATAAAGAATAAAGTATAAATAAACAATAAAGTATAAATAAACAATAAAGTATAAATAAAGACTAAAGTATAAATAAACAATAAAGTATAAATAAAGACTAAAGTATAAATAAAGACTTATTCCTTAGTGCTGGCCAGGGTCACATCCCTGTTTGGGTTATTTTCCCCCGGATTAAAGAGTGTTTTTCCCACTGGAGATGCCACAGCTCAAGTGACCACAGGTGGAAAATCCCCATCCAGGACTCAGCCAAGCCTTCTCCTTCCTATCAGCCCTTCAGCTCCAAATCCATTCCCAGAGGAGCTTTTTTACACAACTGGATCAGGGACATCTCTCACCTTTGAGTGATGAGCTGCTGAAGAAATGGGGAAGTTTTGGGTGCGTGGGGAGCCCTGTGGTGACTGTTTTCTCTGGTGGCATCACGATTTTATAGCAACCAAGATATGGGGGAGCTGCAATTTGTGCCGGGAATGACTTCTTGCATAGGAAATAAAGACTTTTGGTTGGGTTTTTTCATTACCTTCAATTTTCACATTGTCTCAGGGTGTTGGTGTGTTCCCATGTTTGCTTTGGGTTTCTTTAATCCCCATTGCCTCAAACCAAAGTGCAGCTCTCCTGCGCAAACTCTACTGATAGCATTCTTGCCTTTGTTTTTAACAAACCACTGTGGGTATAAATTAGAAAACTCCTTGGAGCTTCTCTTAAAGGCTTTGAGAAAGGCAGAACTTGAGGAGGAAAATGAAAGGGTGAAGTTCTACAGCTGCCGGAATAGAGGTGGCAAAGGCCAATTTGACTGTGATTTAACTCAGCAGCCTGGTTCCAAACACAGACCTGTTGAAGAATTTCACTCACTTGACTCACGCACGATATCCCATTGCTCCATAACTGCATTAGAACATCAGATCATCCGTTTAGGTCTTGGGTTTCCATCCTTCCTGGGAAAAGCTTTTCCTAGGAGCTGCCTCCCCCACCCAGCCCATAAATCACTGAGACCCCAGCTAAACTGAGGCAAGGAAAATCAGTCTCGTGTGTGTTGGTGTTCACATTTAACACAAGAATATATTGTGTTATATAGAAATATATAGCTTAGGATGCATTTGTGTTTTTATATATATGCACACATACGTATGTGTTTATGTGTATAATTTGCCAGTCATAGGAACAGTGACCTCCTAGATGTCCTTTCTGCACAATAACTATGTCCTGCGGTCTTCATGGTAACATCGGGTTGCTCCTGGCCTCATTCACCTTGGAGTATCAGGGGGAATCCCTCCCCAGGCTGCAGCTTCACAAGAGATTTCACTTCAGAGAAGGGAATTGTAAGCAACAGAATTCATAATTGAGAATGCTGAACTGTGCCGAGACCACCCAGTGGTCAAGAGGATTTGGGCACATCAAGGGCTCATCCCATTCATATTAAGGGGTGTTGTACATTCATCTTAAGTCCTATTTACTTAAATGGTGAGATAAATGGAAATAAGCGCCCACATGCCGCGTCCATGACCAGCTCCTGCTAAAGCACACCAGGGAAAACCAAATTGTCTATGTCACTTACAAATTAAGCCTGTTGATGGTGACTTAGGTCAGGGGAAAAAGTGTCTTCTACTTGTGGACAACAAAGGAGCCACAGTCAATGCAATTAAATGCTGAAAAGTTGGGAAGGACGGAGGCCTTTGAAATCGGACCAGAAAATAACACTTGAATGTAATGTTTGATTTCTCACTCGAATTTCCCTCACTGAATAGACTATCTCCCATGTTCCCCGTGTAGGGATAGGATCTGGGCGGAGAGGGGCTGGCAGAACAGTGAGCACTGGCTGGGCTGTTGGGTGCAGAGGGTGACGGATTCCAGTCTGCAGGAGCCTGGGGACTGCCACAGGGGTTTGTCTCCTAAATCTGTCTAAACAGAAGCAAAGGAGAACACCATGGGGTGCAGGAGCCATCCCCCAGTACCTGAGCAAGAGCAGTAGGGCAGGAGCAGAGACCTGGGCCAAGGTCAGCCGAGATTCCAGGGTGTCAAGCAAGCAAGGTCCAAGACCAAGCCAAACCAAGCCAACACAGGTCAAATCCATCCCCCGATCACGGTCAGGTTCAGCAATTGCTAGGCAGATACATGAGCAAGCTTTGGTCACCATCAAAGGATCCCAGAGATGTGCACAACTCCTGCTAAAAGGGAAACAAAAAACTCAAAAATAGCCCAACTTCCCTGGGCTGAGCTGAAATAGAGATGAGGGGTAAATGGGGATGGGGTGGGGATGGAGCCCCAGCTGAGGTTGCTCAGGGGGATAAAGGCTTACGAGTTCACCCTGGGACAATTCATCACTGCCTCAAATGCCCATTTCTCACCCTGCAATACAGTGGAAGCCCTAAAGCACCAGCTCAGGTGTTGGCCATCCAGGCACTATATGTGGATAATCCCACTGGGTCTGGAAAACTGGGCACGCACGTGTTCACAGAGGGATATCAGCAGCTCCAGAGATGGAGTCACTTGTGGCTCCTGTCACATTTAGGGACCCTCTACAAGATCTGAAATGTCTCTAAACCCATTCTTATCCTGTTGGCAACGAGAGATAGAATGCTTGGCATAATCCACAAGTATGTCAGAAGCATCCCAGGAGCTGCTCATCACTGGTGCTGCTGTGTAGCTGTGCTCAAGGACAGCTCATGCCCTTCATGACTCTCTGATTCCCAAGCACCACAATGCCTTTCAGAGGTGATTTCACACCCTTTGCTTTTCCTTCTCTTTGTTTTCCTCTGCTAAAGCATGAGCAGCCCTGGAGGCTTCTTCCCAGGAGAGCACAGGCAACTGTATTTACAGCCCCAGCACCACAAGCTGGGCTCTTGGAGTCTGGCAGGAGCTCCCCTCTCTTCACATCAGGTGCTGAACAGAGCTGATGCCGGCACGTAGATGTTCTCTGCTGCGATGGGGATAAACCCTTGGCTCCCATCACTCGGTGGCAGAGGGAAGGCAGAGGAGGTAATACCAACACAAAGCAGAGCCTCACCTCAATTTAGGCAGTGGGCTTGTGTCTGCATGTTCACACTTCCTCTTTGGTAAAGCTGTGTCAGAAAACAGCCTTACCAATGTGGGTTTCCTTTATAAGAAGAGGGAGCAATGTCTGATGCAGGTTGTGTTTCTTTTACATCAGCAGCTAAAGCGAGATTCACTGAATTACCCAAGAGTTAAATGAGGATGAATCTCATTCTGTTATAAAGAAATGCAGCATTTCAGATTGTCAACAGAATATGGTCACTAACAAATCAGCCTTTGGAATCAGCCTCTTATAACACCAACTCTTTTTTAAGTCAAGCAAAATAATGCCCATAGGTTTAGGATGCTTCAGCATGCTGGAACTCAGAAAGGTAGAAATCATGACTTTAGCAATGTGAATTTTATCCTTTTTGAATTATGTATAACACTTTGATATATGCTATTGTAAGACTGGCATTAGAATTAAAAGCCAAGGGAAAATATCTGGAGGTCATTAATGTGTAAGCTACGATTTCAATGGGAATGTGACTTTCTCTTGCTCAAGGTTTACTTGCACTCCCATGAGGTTCCTCTAAGCTGTCTTCCGATGCAAACTGCCTCGAATGTGAAAGTGAGTAAAGATCTGATTCTTCACTCAAACCTGAAAAATCAGGTGCTTGAATAAATCCATAGTTTAGGTTTCTCAGCATAGAAGAACAAAAATGGCATTTTTTGCTTCATTGCACTCTCTGTTCTTTTCTAAGTACCTCAAATGAAGAACAAAATCATATAATTTGGGTTTAAAAAATACAATACAAAATATTAATTCCACCAAAACATGGCAGTTAAACTGGTGATCGATTGTAGTTAAATATGGTCCAAAAGTGAATTTCTATTTGCTATGATTTTGGTGTTTTCCTTCCTTTTGCATTGGTAGGTAACACCTGGTCATGGGAGGAAATCACACTCAGATTAAATTCATCCTGTTGGGAATTACAGAGAGACCATGTGCGCAGACCCCTCTTTTTGTCTTGTTTCTATTGATTTACATTGTCACTTTGGTGGGGAACTTTGGCATTATCATCCTGGTTCCGGTGTCTCCCAGCCTCCACACCCCCATGTACTTCTTCCTCACCTCACTTTTGCCTTCACTGACATCTGCTATTCCACAGTCATCTCCCCCAGGATGCTGGCAGACCTGTTATCAGAGGACAAAACCATTTCTTTCACTGGCTGCATGACGCAGTTCCTCACCTTTGCTACTATTGAGTGTCACCTCCTGGCACGTTGCTATCTGCCAGCCCCTGCTTTATGTGACCATCATCTCCAGCCACGTCTGCTGGCAGCTGATAGCAACATCCTACCTATTTGCCTTCCTCAGTGCCATCATCTACACGTGGTGTGTGTTTGGAGGCTCCTTTTGTGGTCCCAACCGCATCAACCACTTCTTCTGTGACGAAGTTCCTGTGCTGAAGCTCGTGTGCTCTGACACGCACAGCAGCGAGATGGTCATCTTTGCCTTTGCCACCATCAACGCGGTGGGGATGAGCGTGGTCATTTTGCTCTCCTACATCTCTATCATCCGCACCCTGCTGAGGATGTGCTCAGCACAGAGCAGGGCCAGAGCCTTCCACACCTGTGCCTCCCATTTGATGGCTGTTTCCATCTTCTTTGGGACAGGATTCTTCATGTACCTACAACCTTCTTCTAGCCATGGGAGCCTGGATAAAGTGGCCTCCATCTTTTACACAATGGTCACCCCAATGCTCAACCCCTTCATCTACACCCTGAGGAACAAGGAGGTGAAGGGGGCTCTGCTGAAGTGCGGGAGGAGGTTGTTCAACCACTGGCAACATGCAAGACTTGTATCATGCAGGACATGGATACTCTACATCAAGTGAGAACGCCTAAACTAATGGGATTTTCCACTAATCCTCATGACTTTATGTAGGCTCTTTCATAGTTCCTGCACATTAGTCAGAGTATTTAATGAGAAATAGAACCCCCATCACATCTTCCTTGGAAGGAAACCAAGAGGAGCAGGAACCTCAAACTTCATTTCACTTCTCAGCCACCAGCGTGTAGGAAGAGATTACCTTGAATTATCCCAGGCTTCTTTTTTCTCACAGGAAACACCCATCAGCTTTATTCAATTCTCACTTTTGTCACTGAGAAATATCCGCTTTTCTTGCAAGATTCTTGACCTTGTCCCTCAGCTCCAATATGTGTAATATGCGTTTATGTGTGTAAATATATATATGTGTGACGGAGGAATACAAATAAAAGGTATAAAACTGGTATTACAAATAAAGTGACACATATAGACTTAGAGAATCACAGAACTGTTTAGGTTGGAAAAGACCTTTAAGATCATCCAGTCCAGCCATTCCCCAGCACTGCCAAGGCCACCACTAACCCATGGCACTAAGGGCCTTGTCTACAGGGTTTGGGACACTTGTAGGGATGGTGACTCCAGCTCTGCCCCGGGCAGCCTGTTCCAGTGCCTGAGCACCCTTTTAGATATTTCCTAAAGAGAGCTGACTGGGAGGGTACTGTCCAGATGGAAGGTGGCAGCAGTGATCCTTCAGCAGGAGGGATTTGTTGGAAGCCTGCTGCAGTGCTGGGCTATGGGGATATGCTGCCTTTTGGTCAGCCCTGGGAAAAACATACCTGGCATCTACACTGGATATAACTGTATAGGGGTTTTTCCCACTGGACTCCAGTATTTAAGCTCATTTTATAAATTCATACTGTCGTTCCTATTTTTCCCCAAGAAAGCGATTTCTTACTTTCTAATCTTTTTACTACTACCTTTGGTTTCCTTTGCACAAGCATACGGGCCCTTTGGGGAGGCAGCGAGAGCAAAGGAAGCTGACAGAGCCACTTGTATTTAGAATTCCCATGACATTTCCCATGACAATTCCACTTGGACTCAATGGATGGATCTGCATGACTGTACTGCACAGAATCATCTTTATCCTGAGAAAAAAATGATTTTCTCACCTCCTGGCTTGCTTTATAAATCCGAGCTTCGGAGAAGTAAACCCTCCAAGTCTCCTTTTCTTCTCTGTTCAGTTCTACAGGGTGTTGGGTGCCAATGTTTGGCTGCATCTACCCCAGACTCCTGCCTTTACCGGTTATTACTTTCTATCTTAGACGGTTGGGATACGATGCCAGCAGCCTCACTGGGCACATCACCGATGGCAATCGTGTTTTCTCTCCCCTTCAGCTTTAGCTGAAAAATTTCGTTAGTGATTTCGTAAGTTAAAAATCTGGAGCTGTTAATTCCTCAACCTGAGATGAGCTTCTTCTCTTCTGGGGGACAGAATAGAACAAGATCAGAAACTGTCCTGAAGTTACCGAGAAAGAGCATTTCTTAGAGATGGCACCTCAGCATCTTCAAAGCAAAGAAACATTGAAGCTGGAAAGACTAAAGAGTCTTTACTAAGACTTGAAACCCATTTCCAAATAAAAGTGCTGCCTATCTACTAAAGACCATAATTCTAATATCATATTTTGAAATGGAGGAGACACTAATGACCAGAGAATAACACTGAATGGAATGCTCAGTTCATTACTCTATTTTCCTCACTGAGAAGACTATCTCCTAATTTGCCCATGCAGGGACATGGTCTGAATGGAGAGCGTGTGCAAGAGCAGTGAGCTCTGGCTGGGCTGTTGGGTGCAGCCAGAGAAAGGTTTTAATTTCATAGAATCATGGAATAGTCAGGGTTGGAAAGGACCTTAAGATCATCCAGTTCCAGCCCCCTTACCATGGGCAGGGACACCTCACACTAAACCATGCCACCCAAGGATGGTTTGCAGAAACCTGGCCAGTACCACAGGGGTTTCTCTCTTTAATCTCTTTAAACAGAGCCAAAGGGGAGCACCATGGGGTGCAGGGACCACCCCACAGTACCTGAGCAAGAGAAGCAGGGCAGGAACAGAGACCTGGGCCAAGTTCAGCCAAGACTCCAAATCATCAGGCAAGTTGGTGATGACAAGACAGGTACGAGAGCAGGCCAAGTCAGATCAAATCAGGCCCTGAACCACGGTCAGGTCCAGCAATTGCTAGGGAAGTCTATGAGCAAACCTAGGTCTTCATCAGAGGATTCCACAGGCGTGCACACCTCCTGCCAAACTGGGAACCGGAACTCCTCTTATGAAGTTCAACCTCCCTGGGCTGAGATTAAATAGAGAAGGGGGACAAATGGGCGGAGGGTGGGGATGGAGCCGCAGCTGAGGCTGCTCAGGGGGATAAAGGCCTGTTAGTTCACCCTGGGATAGTTGATCATTGCCTCAAAATGCCCATTTCTCATCCTTGAATACAGTGGAAGCCCAGAGTCACCAGCTCAGCAGGTCTTCATCAAAGGATTCCACATAAGGGACGTGCTCAGCACAGAGCGGGGCCAGAGCCTTCCACACCTGCGCCTCCCATTTGATGGTTGTTGGCTTATTCTATGATACAACGTTTTTCGTGTACCTACAACCGCTATCTAGCCACAGGAGCCTGGATAAGGTGGCCTCCGTCTTCTACACCATGATCACCTCCATGCTCAACCCATTCATCTGCAGCCTGAGGAACAAGGACGTGAAGACGGCTCTGGTCAAGTGCACAAGGAGGTTCTTCAACCACTGGTTACACAAAAGAGCTCTGTCATCCAGGACATGAACAGTTCATCTTAACTGAGGAAGACTGCGATGCACTAAAACAATGAGATTTTCACTAATCCACATGACTTTATTTATGTTCTTCCACAGATCCTGCACAGAAGTCAATGACAGTATGTAATGAGAAAGAAACCCAGCCATCACATGCTCCTTGGAAGGAAATCAAGAGGAGAAGGAACCTCAAACTTCAGTTCAGTTTGTAGGCACCAGTCTGTAGGGAGAAATTACCCTCAATTATCCCAGGCTCCTTTTCCTCACAGGAAACACCAATCAGCTTTATTCATTTATAACTTTTGTCACTCGTAATTATTTTTCTTACAAGATTCTTGACCTTGTTCTCTGCTCCAATAAGATTCCTCCCTCTTACCTGCGAGCTCTTTATTAAAGCTGCTGGGGTGGGAGGGAAGAGCAAGTGTAGTTTTACATTTGCTTGCTGAAAAAGAGTCAGAGAAAAGTTTCCAGAAGATTCATAGCATTTGTTTGTGCCTTTCAAAGAGAAGAAGCTGGTGGGAATCAAGCTCTCAAGCTGCACTTTTGAATATCAGGGCGAATCCCTCCCCAGGCTGCAGCTTTACAATAGATTATACATAAAGGAAAAAATTGTAGACAATATCATTCATAACACAGGATGATGAACTGTGCCGAGACCACCCAGTGTAAAGGAAAATTTGGGCACATCAGGTCTCCTCCCATTCATTTTAAGGGGTATTTTATATTCATTTGACATGACCTTTTACCTAAATGGCGAGAGAAATGGAATTCCAGCTCGAGATCAGCACCCACATCCCATGTCCATGCCCAGCTCATGCTCAAGCACACTGGGAAACACCCAGTAGTGGATTTCATATAAGAATTAAGCCTGTGGGAAGGTTCTGTTGATGAAAGACAATCCTGAATACAGAATCAATGGTAATTGAGAGCTATCCCGGTCTCAAAGAAGCCAAAACACACTGATGGGGGAAAAATCCTTTAGCTGATGTGAGTAGGAATTAACTTCTATTTGGAAAGTATGTTTATAATGAACACGCTGTTTATGTGCACTGAAAAACAACAGTATTAAGAGAACACATTGTCTTACATGTGGGGGGAATGTGGCTCCTACCTGCAGTCAGTGAAGAAGCCAGAATTGATGTCATTAAATGCTTGATGTCATTAAGAACTTGGCAGGACAGAGACCTTTGATATCGGACAGCTTCCTTCAAAACCTTCACCACGCCTTGTTTTCTACCATTTTGTGGGATATTTTGGCTTAGACTGTACATATAGAATCATAGAGCCACAGAAAGCCCAGGCTGGACCTCAAAATATCATCTGATCCGAGCTTCGGTGGAAACAGGAGTCTAGATGAGCAGCGTCATGTGGAGGGCTCATCACTGTCTGATGAATTACCCCACTCTGGTGTCCTTATTTCCTCTTGGGTTTAAGAAAGTTTCCAAAGCAGAGACAAGTGAAATGCTCAAAGGTTTACCCACACTTGGTGCTACCTTTCCAAGGGAAGTCTTGAATGCCATAGTCCTGTGTGTGGTGGATCCGACTCAGTGAACTGGCAATAGGAACCTCAGTCTAACGTGCAGGGGAGGCACAATGGTGAATTCCAGCAATATAAGATACAGGTTTGAGGGTCGGGAAATACGTTTTATACTGAGAGCTTCATTGCATGATTCTGCTTCAATCTTTGCAGAGAAGGGACCTACAAAAAGCAGAAAGCCCTGGCTGTAGACACAAACTTCTCACATCAAATACATGACAGAGGTCCTCTCATTAAGTACTTCTGATACCTCAGAACAAAAGCCCCTTTTGGCAGGAAGAGCTGGACATGGGCCTCTTTACCCTGTTCTGCAGGGGCTGTTAGAGTAGAGCACAGCAAAGACCTTATCCGTGCTTAGGCTGCTGCCAGACCCTGTTCGGAAGTTCAGGGCGAGGATGGACCCGTGGAAGATGGTGACTGCAGCCAGGTGAGAGGTGCACGTGGAGAAGGCTTTGTACCGGCCCCGAGCAGAGCTGATCCTTGAGACAGCAGCGAGGATGAAGGCGTAGGAGACCAGGACGGCCGAGACGGTCACCATCTCCACCAGCCCACCAAGGACAAATATCAGACACCTACTGACACGTGTGTCAGAGCAGGAGAGGGCCAGAACAGGCATGAGGTCCCAGTAGAAGTGGTTGACCTTGGCTGGCTGGCGTGAAGGCGGGCTGAAGGTGAACTCTGTGTGCACCCAGGAGTGCAGCAGGCCAAGCACATGGGAAGTGGCCACCAGCAGCATGCAGAGCCTGTGGGACGTGATGGACAAGTACAGCAAGGGCTTGCAGATGGCCATGAAGCGGTCGTACGCCGTCGCGGCCAGGAGGAAGCACTCGGTGGTGCCAAAGGCTACGAAGAAGTAAAGCTGGGTTGCGCAGCCGATGACAGAGATTGTTTTCTTCTCCATCAGAAGGTTCATTAACGTCCTCGGTGCCACCACGGATGAGTGCATGGGGGACTGCAGCTGAGCGCTGCTCCTGATGAGCACAACCATGCCCAGGGTCCCCACCAGCGTGATGAAGTAAATGAGGAGGAAGAGGACGAACAAAGGCGCTTGCAGTTGCGGGTTGTCCGTCAGTCCCACAAGAGTCAGCTCTGTCACTTGCTTGCTTTGGTTTTCCTCAGCCATCTTCTCCTAAAGCACTGCAAGACGTATTCATAGCGCCATAAGAAACAGTTAATGGAGACACTCAGCACCTACAAAGGCCATCAATCCCCAGGGTCTGGATGGCAAACCCTCTCCTTATCAGATATCTGCTTCATTTGCATCAACATTCATCAAAAACCAGTTTAGCAAAGCAATGAATGTTTTATTCTGGTAGCAGTCACTCTGCCAAGTGTTCCCTATTCCATTCATTCTAATACACGTCTCCCTGATGTATACTCATGGTACATATCACATTCCAGGGTAACCCTCCCGAGTTCTAACAAAGAAAGTGTAAAAGAAGAGGTTCGGTGCTTCCTGTAATGAATTAGTGACAGCAATAATGAAAATCTCACACTAGACCATGTCTTTAGAGGTGACATGGTCAAGTGTGAGATGTCCCTGCCCAAGCCTGAGAGGTTGGAACTAGCTGAACTTCAGGTGCTTTCCAACCCAAACCAGTCTGTGATTCTGTAATTCTAGGACTTAGAATCATAGAATCAACTGAGTTGGAAAAGACCTTTCAGATCATCAACCTTTGAAGTAGAATAGAACATTTGGCATCTTAGGGAGCCTTCCCCATAGAGGTTTTCCTTAAAGGCGATTTTGCTTGCACACTGCAGACATAAAACAGGAAAACCCCATTTATTCTTCAGTAACTTTTCATCTATTTTGCTATTTCAGGGTTACTCTTCTATTGGGTATATAGAAATGGAGAAGTGCCATCATGAGGGAGAAAAGAAACCATTAAAACCAAAAAATGGCAGAACAGATCTTTTCCTTTTTATCAACTTTTCCTACACCTCCTCTTTCTAAAATCCATATTTAAGCGTTCTATGAAAATACACCGTGGCATCCTGCCTTTTAATCACAGCATCGGGGGGGATATGGAACAGCCTCCACAGGGGTCCACAAGGAACCACTGTAACATAAACACATAGAAGAGACCAAGAAAAGAGACAGGAAAACTTGGGAATAGCAGATCAATATTAGCCTAAGATCATGGAAAGCACTGTGCTGCTCACGGGGTGTGCGCCACTGTCAGCAAATCTCTGCAGTGCAATGAGCACGGCTTTCCCATCAGCAATCACTGCAAAACTGGTATCAAAGAGCCTGGCTTATATTCAGAAAGGAAAATCAGAGAAACCATTCATCCCTATGGAAGAAGCACACGGGTTTAGCTCTATGTACAGCCTGCAGCGTGACAGAATTAATCAGGGTGGGATCACCGGCATTGCAGTGATAAAGGATTTATTATAACTTGTATTTTAGCTGCTATCTGCTGCTATTAAAAAATAACCAAACCATTATAACTGGTACAACAGCCTTCACAAAATCCACGTGCTCTGTGATCTTCCTTCTTCTGGTGTTCTCTTGCTCTGCCATGAAATAAACAGCTCCTCATGGTCTGTCTAATAAAAACGTATTGTATTGCACAAGGAGACGCTGGCACAGGGTGCCCAGAGGAGCTGTGGCTGCCCCATCCCTGGCAGTGTTCAAGGGCAGGTTGGACACAGGGGCTCGGAGCAAGCTGCTCCTTCCATGTGGAAGGTGTCCCTGCCCGTGGCAGGGCTTGGAGCTGGAGGAGCTTTAAGGTCCCTTCCAGCCCAAACCACTCTGGATTCCAGGTTTCATCTCATAATCCTAGATATCCATATAAATACATGCATGCACACAGATTTCCATTGCTGGGACACAAACAGGCATTTCTGGGCTCTGATTCATGCGATTTGCTTTAGAGATTGGAGTTACAACAGAGTGAATTACATATAAAGGTGCCTGGTTCTTACGCTTGGGAGGAAATACCCACTTGCTGAAAGATTTACTTGAGCAAGAACATAGCTTATCCCAACTTTAAAGTTGGTTACTTGTATTTTTTACCCGGGTTTGCTTCTTTGACAGAGAGCTTTAAGAGCTGGGAAATCCAACGCTGATGATTCAATCACTGCTGAAACAATCGATATTGACCCAACTTGTGATTAAGCTGTTTACATTTGCACCCTGCAGAAGAGCAGCAAAGACAAGGCTCAAATTGCCCAAACTGCCAGGTAAATTAGCACCAACACTGTGAGATTTCAAAGGACCAAACACCTCCAGCTTGACCTGCAATTTCACTTGTAGGAACCAAGTTTTGGGTGGGAAAGCTTTATTTGAGGGTGCCACAAGCCTTATCATGAGAAAGTACAGTGGAGACTTGTGTGATTGAGTTATTAACTGATTCTATGATGTCCTGTGGTCCTTTGGGTCTATTCCGTTCTCACCCATCCCGGTAGGCACTGGGTTTCAGAGACGCTCCAGAAGAAGAGAATTTCTGGCTCTTCTTTTGAGTTCACCTCTGAACCTTGGCAACCTGGAAACCCACGCCCAGGGTAGTCCATGCTGTCTCTGCAGTGACTGAACAGAGCAAAGTGATGAACAGGATGAATCAAGGTGTTTGGAGGAGCTGTTTGTGCTCATTGACCATTGGTGATGAATGAGGTTGGGCTTCATCTCACCCACCTTCATCTAGGCAGGTGTTACATGCCAAATCAGTGTCAGATACCTTGTAAATGAGAGAGAAATTACAGAGTAATCACCTCAATACACCTTCACAGAGACCTCGGTGCTGCAATGAGTCCTGCTCAACAACAGCAACAAGGAAACACCCTCCTGGTCACCAGCTTCCTCCATTCACTGCCTTCTCCCAACTGCTCTCAGGAGGGCAGCCTTCACCTCCCTGTTCCTCAGGCTGTAGATCAAGGGGTTCAACGTGGGGTTCATGATGGTGTAGAACAACGTGGCCGTTTTGTTCTCATCCAAAGCAAAGGTGGAGCTGGGGCGCAGGTACATGAACAAGATTGCCCCATAGAACGTGGTGACGACCATCAGGTGGGATGTGCAAGTGGAGAAGGCTTTTCTCCTGCTCTCCTTTGAGCGGATCCTCAGGACAGAGGGGAGGATATAAGCATAGGAGATAAAGATGATGGTCATGGTGCTGAGGCAGTTTATGCTGACGAGAGCAAGGATGACCCCCTCGTAGGAGTGGGTGTTGGAGCAGGAGAGAGCTAAGAGTGGGGCAATGTCACAGAAGTAGTGGTTGATAACATTGGAGTGGCAGAAGGAGAAGGTAAAGATGAAAGTGGTGTGGGTCACCGCATGGAAGACACCAACAACATAGGAACCAGCCACAAGCCACCAGCACATTGATCCACACATGATGGTGGGGTACAGGAGGGGTTTGCAGATGGCCACGTACCTGTCATAGGCCATCACAGCCAGCAAGAGGCACTCGGTGACCCCAAAAGTGACAAAGAAGCAGAGCTGGGCTGCGCACCCCGAGAAGCTGATGGTTTTCTCCAGCGTCAAAATCTGCACCAGCATTTTGGGGATGATGACGGAGGAGTAGCAGATGTCGACAAAAGCCAAATGGCTGAGGAAATAGTACATGGGGGTGTGAAGGTGAAGATCAGTCCTGATCAATACAATGAACCCAAAGTTCCCCAAAAGGGTCACCATGTACATGGCCAGGAAAGCCATGAAAAGGGGGACCTGGAGGTCTGGGTGGGTGGTCAGCCCCAAAAGAATGAACTCATGCACATCAGTGTGATTGACGGGTGTCATCCTCTGTAATGCATCAACCTGCAGGACACAAGCAAAACAGACAACGATGCGGGCAGCTCAAGAGGACCCTCAGCTTCCTCGGTGTCAACAAAGGGAAGCAGAACCCATCCTGCTAGAGGGTCAGTTGGACTCTGGATAGCTCTTGGAAAAGCCAAGCCTCCATCTAGTGGCTACAAGAGGGTCTTAAAACCAAACCCTCAAGCTCAACAGTGAGAACACCCACCTGGGTTTAGCTCAGCATTTCATCGCTCCTCTTTCTGCCTTCCTGGGCGCATTCAACGCAGCAGGAAGGTCAATAACTAGGCAATTCTTGGAAGCTGGGTTGGAACTGGATGATCTTAAGGTCCTTTCCAAACCTAACTATTCTATGGTCGAGGTTTAACCACAGATGGCAACTAAGCCCCACACAGCTCAGCAATAACTAAAACACCCTTGACTTATCAACACCATTTCAGAACCAATCCAAACCGTAGCACCATAGCTGTTACTACGAAGACAATTTGCTCTATCCTAGCCCAAACCAGCACAGCCATTGAATGCATTTTGGGTTTTCCTTAGGAAATGACAGGTACGTTTGGAAAATAATTGCTGTTTTCTAAAACCAACATGGAACAATTCCACTTGAAGAAATCTTTTTCCTGTTGACTTTCCTTTCCCTTTGCGAAGCAAAGCAGAGCAGAAGCGTGGGCATTTTAAAGCTGAGATGAACACACAGTTTTCAGCAGACACGGTCCATAAGAAATTAAATTTAAGGTGGCACAGTGATGATGGAGAAACTTGGAGGGTCCATGCAGCTCCTTCAGCGCCTGGGATGAGTTTGGCTGTTCCTCCAGATGATGACTGAAGCCACATTCATCTTCAAGCAGATGTTGAGAATGGGTTTTAGCAGTCTTTCCTTAGAAGGGTGATTTGCTGCTGCATCTTGCAAGGGCAGACAAGTGCCCTCTGTAATTTCTAGTGTTCAGGATATATTTATACTGATTTCTGAGACCTCAGAGGCATTCCACTCCATGGGGAATAGAAGCTTGACAACAAGCAAAATCCACCCAGAGCATCAATCTCTTCATCTCCAGGTGCACTAATAAAGCCCAGGAACAATTTGATGTAAATATGTGGATTTAAGGAGATGTCTTCCCCCTGCTCCCACGTTGAGGAGAGGGAGTGAATGACAAGAGAATGTCTACATGGTTCACCCCGATTATTCTCATAACTTTCTCAACTGGCTTTCCTAATGCTACATAAACAGGATTTCGGCAATGCAAGGAACAGTTCCTGGACCCATTCCTACTCTCACCATTGCCCCTCGTTAACATCTTCCTGTAAAACCCACTCCAAATGTTGATTTTTGCCTTTGCTGACTTGACTAAGAGAGTCATTGTCCCCAC